CATCACACAGTTGCGTTGACATTCCATAACAAAATGGGGTGATTGAATGGAAATATAGATATTTGGTAACTATGACACCAGTTTTGTTTTTCCAAACCCACCTTTTTAAAATCTTCCGGGGGAATGCCATTCTGATTTCTACATACCTTATAAATCACACACCTATGTCCATTTTGCAAGGAAAAATATCTTATGAATGGTTTTTTAATTCAACACCCAATTACTCACATTTAAGAGTATTTGGATGTTTATGTTTCGCCTCCACTCATGCCCAAAGGCCATCTAAATTTGATAAACGTGCAACCCAATGTATTTTTCTTGGCTATCCTTATGAAAAAAAAGATATCGAGTATATGATCTTGGACTCCACAAGTTTTTGTGTCTCGTAATGTTACCTTCTTTGAACAAGAATTTTCCTTCAAAAATGCTTTCGTTGCTATTGAGAAATCCGCTACATCTACTCATGATAAATTCATTTTCTATGATGATCTTGTCATATTACAAAACTCCATCGAGACACTTACCCTAAGAATGCTGTCAATAATTCTCATCATATTATTCCGACTTCTTCCATACCTGCTTCTGTACACTGTTATTTCACAAGACCAACCAAATGTCTTCCTTTCTTCAGAATTATCATGTGGAAGCAGTCCTCTCGTCTCGGCCTGACCCCTCATCAACCTCTAGCATGGTCACCACTTCATGTATGCCACACAATCTTTCTCAAGTCCTTTCATATGACCAATTATCTACCTCTCATAAAATTTTTACCACTTCTTTAATCATTGTAAAAAACCAACTAATTTTTTACAGGCTCTGAAGGATCCTCTGTGGCACATAGCCACGCGCAATGAAATCGATGCCGCCAATCAAACAATACATGGACACTTATGTCTCTCCCACTTGACAAGAAATCAATAGGATGTAAATAGGTGTACAAAATGAAACTCAAATCCGATGGAACCATAGAGCGTTATAAGACTCGTTTGGTTGCCAAAGGATACAATTAGATTGAAGGACTTGATTACCGAGAGACTTTTGCCCCGATTGCTAAGTTTGTTATTATGCGTGTCCTCTTAGTGTTGTTGCAATTCAAGGATGGAATCTCCACCAATTTGATGTCAACAATGCCTTTTTGCATGGCGATCTTGATGAAGACGTATACATGTCCCTACCACCGGGATTCGGACGAAAGGAGAGACTCGAATATGTAAACTTAACAAGTCACTCTATGGCTTGAAACAAGTTTCTCGACAATGGTTTCTGAAATTATCTTCAGCTCTTAAACTTGCTGATTTTCAATAATCAAAGGCAGATTATTCATTATTCGTCCGATTTCACAAAGGTAGTTTCGTAGTAATTCTTGTATATGTTGATGATGTGATCTTAACAAGTAATGATATGCAACATATTCAAGACTCGAAAGAATTTTATCCGAACAATTCAAAATCAAGGATCTTGGTCAGCTCAAATATTTTTTGGGAATAGAGGTGGCAAGGTCTTCGAAAGGTATTTCTCTCTCAAAGAAAATATGCATTAGAGATATTAGAAGATGTTGGATTTCTAGGAGCTAAACCAGTAAGGTTTCCCATGGAACAAAACTTGGCTTTACACAATCTGATGGAGATCTTCTGAATGACCCTTCAATGTATAAGCATCTTGTAGGAAGGTTGATCAATTTGACTATCACTAGGTCAGATTTGGTCTATGCAATTCATGTTTTAAGTCACTTTATGGGCAAACCACGTGTGTAATATCTTGAAGCAATACATAGAGTTCTTAGATACATAAAGCAAACACTAGGATAAGGCATTTTACTATCCTCTACAAGCACACTTCAATTAAAGGCCTTTTGTGATGCGGATTGGCCATGTTGCAAAGATACAAGAAGGTCTATAACAGGGTACTGCATATTTCTTGGACAATCACCCATTTCTTAGAAGACAAAGAAGCAAACTACGGTGGCTCGATCAACTGCAGAGGCAAAATACCATTCTATGGCTACTACTTGTTGCGAAGTTACTTGGTTGAAGAATGTCTTGAGAGACTTAGGAATCAAACATCCCCAACCAGTCATATTATTTTGTGATAATCAAGCTGCTTTACACATTGCCTCGAATCTGGTCTTTCATGAACGAACGAAACACATTGAAATTGACTACGACTTAGTTCGTGACAAAATTCAAGAAGGCTTGATTAAAACAGCACATGTGAGGACCAATGATCAAATCGCGGACTTATTCACCAAGGCGATGAGTACACTGTCATTTGAGATATTACTTAGTAAGCTGGGTGTTATTAACATAAACTCCAACTTGAGGGGGTGTGTTAAAAACAATCAAATAAAATAGGAAAGAGAATATTTTGTATATTAATTTGATTAGTTAGTTGCTATCCTAATAAAAGTCAAAGCTAATTTATAGGCATTAGAATAGGATCTAATTGGTATTGTATCGTGTATAAAGTTGTACTTTTTGCTCTTGGATGATTATAAGAACAAATTCTTTCACCAAAATATCTTCTTATTAAAATCTCTAAATACGATTTCAAAAGAAGTGTTTTACACTGGAATAGCAATAGATTTGATAGATATTACTTGATATTATTTACTAAACTGAAACACTAACTTGATGTTCTTGATTCTATTTGACAACTTCTTTTTTTCTTTTTTGGTTTTGAAAATTTAGTCTTTGAAATCTGGTATGTTTGTGTCATGTGCTCGATGACCTTTTAAATAATGAATTTAGTATAGTATTTGTCCTTTTTTTTATCGACTATTTGTCCTTCTTTTTCCATTGACTACAATAACATTTCTCTAATCTAATATATTCTATCCTACAATGAGGGGAGTCTAAAGAGGCAATATAAAGGACTAACGGGTATATAGACTCGATTAGACCAAAAGGGATGCTCTGGCATTCTTATTCTATAGAGGGGTAGTCTGACATTCCTATTCTATAGGGATGGAGAACCTAAAGATGGTTAGCATTTATACAGATTCGATTAGACTAAAGGGTGCTCTGGCATTCCTATTCTACAAGGAGGGAGAACATAAAAAGACCGTATAAGTGTGGCATGTATATAGACCTGACTAGATCAAATGGTGCTTTGGTATCTCTTTTGAATTTTTTCATTGCAGGTGGAGTTTGAACCCAAGATCTATAGTCCAAAGAAGGAATTTAATCCTACTTTTAATGGCCACAGAGCTAAAACTTGTTGGTTAGTACAATGTTTGTTGGTTTGTGAATTATTCGAAAAACATATACCTCATGCATAGTGAGGGCAAACACTCATGTTTTTGTTTTCTTCCTTAATAAACAGATTGCATTTTTTTTTTTGAAGAATTAGCGAGTTTTATATAAAAATAAGAATTTACACTCTAACCATCAATTTTCCCCTCTTATCTTCCTCTATAATTCTAAGATTAAGGGGAAATTTGACTCAAAATAACTTTATTCACCCTATTGAGATAACTAGCCATAAAGTCAGCAGTTTGATTATATTGGCGATATACAAAATATATAGTCAGCTCCTTGAAGCATGAGATTAAATCCTTTATATCAGAATATGCAACTAGAGCCCTCCAAGGACAGTCACTTTTGCTGTTTAAGATATTTACAACAAGTTTTGAATTAGTGTGGATCTCAATACGTTTCCTTCTCTTGAGTTTAGCAAACACCAATGCTTCCTTGATGGCTTCCAACTCATGGGTTAATATTGAATCAGCGCATAGTCTAATAGCCTTGGATTGATTCCTTGATGGCTTCCAATAAAGATTGGTTCCCAAATCCTAAAAGCAAAAATGCACTTTCATCCCTTTGTTTGGGGTATTGGACAATTTTGTCCCTAAAGTTTTAGTCAAAACATGTTTCATCCTTATAATTTTATAATTTTGACAAATTTCGTTTCTAAAGATTCATACAAACACAATTTCATCATCATAATTTCATAAATTTGACTAATTAAGAACAATTGATGGATTGCCAGGTGATTTGAATGAAATATCATCACTTGACTATAGCATGCCCGTTAATAAAATAAAAAAAAATATTAGATCAACGAAAACCTCAGAAATTGTTTTTTAATTCACTTTCTTATTTAAGAAAAAATTAAAAAATTTCGCCCACCATTAATCTCCTATTAATCACAAATTAAACAAAAAGATTGAGAGGAAACGAAGTTGGGGAGAGGAAAAAACCCTATTGTAGTCAATAGGAGAAAATTTTCAAACAATCCCATTACAACCAATTAGAGAAAAATATTAGTGTGAACAAAAGAATTGTTTAGATTGTCATTTATTTGCAAAATTATGGTTTGTTGTATCATATACATGCTTTTCAAATTGTCTATTTATCCAATTTATTTTTTTAACTCACATACTGCATATCATAAATTAAAAAAGATAATCTCTTAATCGAACACACTCATTATTATTTCTATAATTTAATCGATGATTGAATTAAGTATTAAAAATACAATTATTAACAGGACATGCTAATCATGTGATGATATTCTATCCAAATTGGTTAACAATCATTTAGTTGTCTTCAATTGGTCAAATTTATGAAATTATGATGATGAATTGTGTTTGTATAAAACTTTCGAGATGAAATTGATCGAAATTATAAAACTACGAGAACAAAATGCATTTTGACTGAAACTTTAGGGACAAAATTGTTCAAACACTCTGAACATTAGGGATGAAAAGTGCAATTTTCCCAAATCCTAAAATACAACCTCTTAATAATTTGAAGGGTTTTTGGAAGAGTTTATCGTCTTGTTGACCTCGTAAATTGTTGTTCTTCTTGGTTCACTAGTGCAGAAGAAGAGCTAGTCGGAGAAAATGGGAGGAAAGAGAAAGGATTTTCGCAGCACCACCGATGTCCAGGGTACCGAGGAAGGAGGAGAACAAAGGTAAAGAAGAAGAAGAAGGAGAAACTGGCGGCGGATGGATTGCTTCCATCGACAATAAAGAAAGGAGAAGAGGTCTGCCGTCCATGCAAGCTTAAGCAGCAGAAAAGGCTTGAGAAACGTAAGAGGGCCAAGGCTCGTGAAGCGGCTGAGCAGAGAGCTCTTGAGCTTGGCGAGGAGGTTTGCCTTTCATCCTTTTTTTTTTTAAATTCATTTATTTAAAGACATTTCTTTTCCATATCTTTCTCATCAAACGAATGCTGTTTGTTAATCTTGAGGCTTTAGTGTTTGGTATGTCCAATCCGATATGTCTAATATATGCTAATAATTTGCAATTAGTAATTTTTGATCCAACAAGCAAGCAATTGATTAAACACAAGATTTGACTATCTAATTGTATTCTGATGGACATTTTTCTGTCGACAAGCAGCCTCCGCCGAGGAAAATCCCTCGCACAATTGAAAATACCAGGGAGCTTGACGAGACTATCTGCAAGCCTGACGATGAAGAGGTATCCTGTTATCCATCTTGAATCTTCAATGTTTTCCCAAGCTGCATATTTGGAAAGAATACTTGGGAAATTTGATAACATGACAGATTATCCTGTGTGTCTCATATGTGCTGCTCTTGCCTTCTTCATCTACAGCTATTTGCTGGCAAATGATGCAGATGAATTTAGTTGATTCTGAAGCAGGACCGCACTCGCAAAGATACTCATAACAACTTGCCGCTTCAATTCAACTGTATGTGTTAATTTGAGTATATGTACCTATTTGACTGTACAGCGTTGCCTTTAGTTTCAGATCATTGTTTTCCCTGTTGTCAAAGACTTGCTTTTTTTGTGTGTAGATTTTATGTCTTATTTATTTTTCTCTACAGAGGGGACGCTGCTTTTATATCAGATCTACTCTCTGTGATCCCAAATGCACACTATTTCAAGAGAGGAACCTATGATCTTAAAAAGGTTTTAATATTAATTTCTGTTAATTCCTTTTTTTTTCAAAAAACTACAAAATAGTTTTTATTTTGGCATATTTTGCCTATGCAGATTGTAGAATATGCAGAAAATAAGGAATTCACTTCTGTTATCGTTGTCCACACTAATCGCCGGGAACCAGGTTAAATTATGCAGCCTTTATCTAGGCATTTGCACACAACCATTGCTCTGGCCTTTTTTCTCTCTTCATGAGTTAATGTAGAATACTAATGATGGAATCTTCTTTAGATGCTTTATTGATAATTGCATTACCTGATGGACCTACTGCCATTTCAAATTATCAAAGCTGCTTCTGCGCAAGGATATTAAGGTTTGTTGTCCTCCGTCTTCTTTTCAGAATCTTGTCTAAGCTGCTAAGCTTTTAATTAGGAATGATTTTCCCTTAAGAGAAGAAGCTATATTAGTTTGATAAGGGTGCTGAATGTTGTCATGGTTTTACGTTGCACTCTAGTACTCATGATGATTTTAGTATTGCAATTTCTGATGGTCCTTTAGTTAGATACCTATCCCCAAAGTGTTCCTTTGATAGCTTTGTTTCAGTATCCTGCTATTCCTTCCTCAATATTTTCCCTCATTCTCAATAGTGTAATTTTATTATCATGTGCTTTCTTCTGTGTGTGTTTTCTTGAAATGCTGTTGTTTTCATGGATATCTGGGTCTGTTTATGTGTATGTGTATTCCATACTTAGGTGTTGCATGTTGGATTTTGGATGTCTTGTAGTTCAGATAGATGATGATGCTTTACTCTCCTTCACTTGCAGAATCATGGGAATCCAACTAGTCACAAGCCTGAGCTAGTCTTGAATAACTTCACAACACGCTTGGGACATCGTATCGGGAGGTGACTTCTTGTTTTATATGTGATTTTTTCAAGAGAGTTACAGGAAATTGGATGTGTGTTTAAAACATTGATTATATTTAGTGTGGTGGCACAGTTAATTTATGTTGTTTTCTCTGGATTTGCAGCAGATCATCTCTCTTCTCTCTCTCTCGCGCTGTATGTGTTTGTGAATGTCTTGTACTCTTAAACCTAGAATATTTATGAAGTATTTTGCTAGATAATTTCTGTCTCGTGCACTTTAAGATCTCTCTCTCTCTCTCTCTCTCCTGTATGTGTTTGTGAATGTCATGTACTCTTAAACCTAGAATATTTATGAAGTATTTTGCTAGATAATTTCTGTCTCGTGCACTTTAAGATCTCTCTCTCTCTTCTCTCTCCTGTATGTGTTTGTGAATGTCATGTACTCTTAAACCTAGAATATTTATGAAGTATTTTGCTAGATAATTTCTGTCTCGTGCACTTTAGGATCTATATTTTTGTTTATGACTCTTTCTATGCATTATTTTGGTTAATAGGTTGATACAATCGCTTTTCCCACAAGATCCTAATTTTCATGGTCGTCGAGTTGTAACGTTTCACAATCAACGTGATTTTGTATTCTTTCGCCATCACCGGTGTGTGTTCTTTCTTTTAAGGAGTTTGTTCTATTCCACATATTGATCTTAGACTTGTAATAAAGCTTTGTGATGGCAACCTTATCTTTTGAATGTGAAGTTACATTTTTGAAACCAAAGAAAGTAAGCAGGCTGCATCCAGTGGCAAAAAGAGCAAGGATAATAACGATGAGAAAAGCGAGCAGAAACTTATTGCACGACTTCAGGTTTGTGTTTCTGATTTAGTTCATTCTTGTCTTGAGATGTATATTCTTTCTTTTGTGATAAGTACTTCTAGCACATTTAGAATTCAAGAATAAGTTTTAGTTTTGTTAAAAATGCTATTTGTCCTAATCCCAAGATAAGGGGAATTAATTTGTTGCTGTTTTAAGGAGACTAAGCCTTAAAATGGCAATTAGTAATGCACTTGGATCTGCACAAATTTGCCTGCAAGGAACTCTATAGTAAGTTTGAATCTTCCCATGAATGGCCTTGTCCTCATATTTGGCATCTGCAGCACCCTTAGTTTCGGTATATGAAGATGCACATCATACAGGCCATGTTTTGACCGGAATGTCTATTGTTAACTGGTAATTGAGTCAATGCCAGTCATACATGTTTCTTTGGGTTAACTGGTTAAGGAATGGAGAAAACCCCTCTTGACACTTCTATAGCCCCTTATAATATTCCTGTCATACAGGTCTTTTATGCTTTAGCATTTTTCGTCTTTCTTTTTAATTGCTGTTTATACTGATGGCCAATTCTTTTCATGCTTTACGGCAGTTCTTTTTAAGGTTTGGAATCGATTTAGTGGCTGAAAAAAAACTCACATTCATATTATCCACTTAAAAAATGTAGAGAAGGATAAGAAACAAGGGGCAAAAAAATGCAACATGAAAGGAAATAGCTATCTGAGTCAGAATATGAATTAGAAACTTTACCTAGTAAAGCTGAAACTACACCAAGAACTTGGCTTCTAGCTGGTCTGGTAAGTGTATGTGCTATAGAGATCTGAACATTCGTGAACAATGCTTAAAATTTCCTTCCAGTTTGTTTTAACTGTTCATCAAAGAAATATTTATTACTACAAAACAACAACACATAAAAGGCAAAACAGAAGCAGAGAAAGAGACTATTGGTAATCTGTTTGTTTGACTTTCATATGTTATCTGTTTTTTCCACCTATTGATTTTCTTATTGCAAGAGAACTCTCTCGTGAAGTCGAATACTTTGAAGATATGAAGTATATATAGTATGAAGAGGGCAGAAAGCAAAGTTTGAGTCTGTGTAATGATGCAAAACTGTCACTTCCCTTGCTGGGAGGGAGTTGATATGGAATTACATACGTGTTTTAAATTGATCTAAGTTTCTCATGAGATCAAAAATCTTTTTGAGGAAAATTTCATGATTTCTTGTCTATGAGCTTGAAAACCTATGGACAGTGATGAGTTTTTTCTCATTACCAAAAAGAGAAAAAAAAAGTGACGAGTTTTCCAACAAGATAAAGCTGTTTGAATGATGCTATTCAACTTCTTTTAATGAGAGTTAATGAGATGGAGCTTGATGCTATTGTTATCTTATTCAGATGTCTGCATTTGCCTCCAAATGCCAGCTTTTTAGGGTAGTTAATCGGCAAACAACACGCACGTTAGTGAGATAGACTCGATGCTAACGGCGGTTGAATTAAAACCAATCCCAACATGACTTTTGTGAAGTTGGCGGCACAAAATCCAGGCCCAACGTGATCTTTGTGAAGTTGGCGGCACAAAATCCAGGCCCAACGTGATCTGGTGAATGGTCAGCAGGATAAGACCCAATCCTGCCATCCAATTGGTCAAGAAATTGGATTTGATCTGTCAAGATATAAGAAATTAAATTTTGATTTTCCAAGAAACAAAAATTTGAACTTGATTTTCGATTTTTGACTTTTGAATTTTTCTGATTTTTCGAGAGAATTTTTTTCAAAAATAATTTGCCCCAGTGTAGGGCCCTTTTCCCTTCTTTCTTTCCTTTCTTCGGCATCGGCCTTCCACATCGCCAGATGCTTTTCGTCGACTTCAACTGTGAATACCTGCACAGGGGGCTTACATGCACTCAAATTTTCAAGAAAAAGGCAGCGTGATTGATTTGAAAGTCTTGCTTGAGTCTTTGACGAAATCCTCAAATGGACTATAAAAAATTTGCCCCAGTGTGGGCTTATTTTGTGAAATCTTGCGAATAAAAATTTTGCCCCAGTATGGGCCCATTTGATTGCAAACAATTGGTTTGGATGACTTTCCATTTATGCGAACACTATAAGAAAGAAAATTTCATGATGAATTTCTCAAAATAATGCCAAATTACAAAGGATTTCTTCCTTACCTTAGCATCGAAGCTTTGGGTAATGGCGTTATTTCTGATTTGGAAATGGGAGGTCAAGATTTGTCTTATTCATGTGCTCAGATGGTATGTAACCCCTTCTATACCACATCTTGGTGAAAGCAAAGAGTTTATCATCCTTATTTCTTAAGAAAACGTAGTCCACATACGAGCTTTATAGGCTTGCAATAACACGGATGGAAACGATAGCTAAAACATGAAAAAACTGGTTGTTCCCTTATGATCACAAATGATTGATGGATTTCTTACGAGCATAGTCGTCACTTTGGATTGTCATGAAGGAATAAGTCAACGATGGACTTTATGAGCTTGTAATGTGGCTTGAAAACGATAGCTAAAGAATAAAACTTTCAAGGACATTACACCACAGATCGCATTTTTCAACATTGCCTTCATCTGGACTCCAGATTCTTGGACTTTGTTTGACTTTTATCATCACCCAACAGGGTCTTTCAACATCAAATCTTTTTGCATCTTTCTTTTGCATTCATTTCGCTCGTTTTTCTTTTCTTTTTCCCTCTTTTCAGAAATACCTTCTCGGGGTTTCATATGAAGAGCAGTGTCAACCTCACGCCAAATCAATTCAGAAATACAGCTAAAATTTTCGACATCAGAAATTTTCTTAACAGGGCCATTGCTAAGAACAGAAGTCAGGGCTTTCGGCTTTTGTAATGGGGTCAGGTGGGGTGCTTAGAAAAGTTAAGGCTTGAAAACGGATTTCAAAGTGGTTTGAAAAATCCGAGATCGCATTGTTGCGCCAACCCTATTTCAGGGTTAAATCAAAATCTGCCTCAGTTTTTGCTCAATTGAGGCTTTTCACTTTCATTTTTCTTTTTCCTTTTGACT